AATGTGTTTCAATTTTTTATAGATATTTTTATTATTGTTATTATCTTTTATATTAATATTACTAAAACATTTTAAAATGATTCCGAGCTTGCAATTTTTTTTTTTTTTTTTTTTTTTTGAGATTTTGATCTTGAATCTTGAGGGAATTTTACAGACGTAGGGTCCAGTTTAGAGCTGAGATTTGAAATATTATGCCTATGGCCAAATATCGCACTCGCAAAATTTATTGTAATTTCCTCCCCCCCCCCCACTCTGCCCTTTCATCGATTTTAATAATCATTTTGCAAATTTAGGGTGGGCCAGTCTGGCTTCCCCTCTTCATGGAATCTGCCTCTATTTTGTGAATATATTTAAGCTATAAGTGGAGTCGATGCTGGCAACTAAAATGAATCTCATTCAACACATATTATGTGTAAATTGACGTTTATCGTGTTGCAACTGAAAAAATATGTTTTTCCATTTCTTTAAAATTGTTAATCTGATTTTGGAATTTTAAAAATAGCTTTAAATAGGCCTATGCCAGTTAAAATCTACTTTTATCTGGCCTTAGAAATATGCATATTTTTTACTGAATATTTATTTTAAAATTGACTTAGATTAATTTACCTTGATAAACATAAATATTTCCAACTGTATCCTTTACACTCAAAATTAAAGTACTTTAAAATTGAAACGAAAATAGACATTACTACCATTTATTAAATTTAGAAGATTTTAAACGTAGTGGAGTTCTTAATTTAGAAGCCAAGAAGGGTAGATGGGATAAGATTCCACTCCAGTGTCGGTTTTGTAAACCTGTCTCTTATACACATCTAGATGTGTATAAGAGACAGGTACAAATGTTTTAAGATATGTTATTGTAAATGAAACTATTGACAAAGCACGCATTGCAAATTGCACGTTTCTTTACTGTAATTTTTATTTCCTTTGTCTTCGTTCGTATTACATTTCCACAATTTAAAGAGATATGCGACCCATCAAATCTAAACATTGGGTCGCGACCCATAAGTTACGGAAAGGTGGCCTATACTGTATGTTACATGCATCGGTGTTAGCCTAGATTTTCCCTATGGTATTAGACCATGACTCTATAAATTGTCACTACAACCACGGAGGAATAAAATGCTAAATAACTATTACTATTCCCCAGTTGCGTATGTCTTCGGGGAAGGTCTTAGGGACACACGCCCACCTCCCCCATCTCAGAAAAGGAGGCTCCCACACCAAAAATTTGCTTAGCAACACTGAGTACACACAAACAGTTAAAAATTTTATATAGTTGGGCACATAATCCACAGCTGCCATCATGTTTAAGCTAAATATTCTAAATAAGCCTAGGATTATCAAAGAAGAAATAATGTAATCGCAGCAAGGACATTATCATTAGGTTTTTTTCTTGCAGAGAACAAGTACACCTTCTAAACAATCATTCATAATTACTAAATAGTAATATCTTCATTCTAACAAAATATTTTCAATAGTTGGTGTCACTATTACCTTTATAACCCATACAAACTGGTTTAGTTTGTTTCATTTTCAGAGTTTAATACCAATATAACGATAACAAAACTTTGGCGGTAGGAGTGCACTGAAACATTTCAACCTGTAAACATAAAAAACATGCAAAATAAATTGCACTTCTCATGAAAATTTATGCCTGTGCATTATTTTTATTTAGCTATTTAATATAGTTATGCAGTTCGGGTGAAAACTCCTAAAACACACTGTAGAAAACCAAACAATTCAATTGTGATTGACTCACATGGTATATCAATAGGAAAATTAAATATTTGTGATAAGAAATTGTGATTCAGCTTCCTTGAAATCGGCCACAAATAAATTATTTTAGTATTAATAAATGCATGATTTATGTTGATTTATTGATATATGTTGATATCCATCCCTACCTAAGCTGGTCGAACGTTTCGTTTGGGTCTATACCCTAGCTGCACTGATGAGGCCTGGAAGGTCGAAACGGATCCGTCTGCAGATATTGGGATTCCTTCCAGTGGATGCTTAGTTTATTTTGCTCATTAAGAGAATTACCGTTTATAATAATGTGCATCATAGCGCGGAAATTGATGCCGGCTTATATAATGAATTAACATTCATTACAAAAATCACAGCCACAGACATAATTTTAAATCAACATTATCAGGATGAGCTTACGATTATCTAATATTACAAACGAAATATTTTCGTCACATGAAAAATTTAAACTCAGCTTATAGACATGACACATTTTCAATCATGTATATGTACAATATGCCTATACCTCTGATCCGCAACCTTTTTAGTCCACAGCACAAAAATTAAATGTCAAGCACTGAGACGCGAACCATCGGACCCGAAGACCTAATCTATCACCTGAATTTCATGGTAAAATGATTGAATATTTTATTATTTTCTTTAAGTCAATATATCACGTCTGTAGTTTTATACACAAGGAATACGTCTAGAACCATGTCAACTTGATTTTTTGTCAACCAATTAAAAGATATCACTTCATTCATAAAAGGTTTTTCAAATCACCCACAAACTAAATTAAAATGCTATAAAAATGAAAATAATATAACTTTGAAATACTCATACAACAGAACCACATACTTTATTAACTTTAAGTTAAATTATTACAGACGTTCGATTACAAAAATATATTTTTTTAATTTGCTGCCAGAAATATATGGATTATTGGAAGACTATACACTCTAATTTACGAGAAAAATGTCGCTATAATTTTCACCTGAAAGGCAAACACATTGATATAAGCAAAAGTAAAACTTTCATGTCATAACTGAAGTACAAATGTTTTAAGATATGTTATTGTAAATGAAACTATTGACAAAGCACGCATTGCAAATTGCACGTTTCTTTACTGTAATTTTTATTTCCTTTGTCTTCGTTCGTATTACATTTCCACAATTTAAAGAGATATGCGACCCATCAAATCTATTTCGCGACCCAAACATTGGGTCGCGACCCATAAGTTACGGAACGGTGGCCTACTGTATGTCGACTTTCTAGTTTTTCTTTTAATTAATTTACTAATTATTATTGTCATTATAATATGTATAATACAGTAAATGCACTTTTTTATTGGGGGACATTGTAATACGGTATGCTTATTTATGTTGCCAGAGATCGATGGGGGACATGGTCATTGTTTTACGTCACCATCCCGATTTATTTATTTACGTGTATTGATGCGGAAATACTAACACGTGTTATTGGAGAAAATAATTGATTCTCTTTCTCATTGATTATTATAGAATATTGGCAAACAATGAAAATAAAATAATTTTACAAGTGCAATTGTTATTTGTAAGTATTTTGCCATAGAAGGCGTCTCTATGCTGTTGCGATCGATCAATGATCTGATCGCGCTTTGCGTGAACCTCCGGTTTAGCTTTCAATCTGAGAGGAGGACTACGAGGATATTGATGTGACTTGCTGCACAGTACCTGGTAAGTGTAAATTCATGATTTAAAACAGTTTTAAAATAAAATCAAATTGTAAATTTTAAACAAAACATATTATTACAATTAAAAACAGGGTGGGGCGGTGAAAATGTAAAAAAAAATAGTTTTAATGTGCTTTTAGAGATAAGTAACGTTAAATTTAAACAATATCTACCGGTATATTTATAATTGATCAATTTAAAATGTGGTTCAATGTTTTATAGATATTTTGATTATTGTTATTATCTTTTATATTAATATTACTAAAACATTTTAAAATGATTCCGAGCTTGCAATTTTTTTTTTTTTTTTTTTTTTGAGATTTTGATCTTGAATCTTGAGGGAATTTTACAGACGTAGGGTCCAGTTTAGAGCTGAGATTTGAAATATTATGCCTATGGCCAAATATCGCACTCGCAAAATTTATTGTAATTTCCTCCCCCCCCCCCACTCTGCCCTTTCATCGATTTTAATAATCATTTTGCAAATTTAGGGTGGGCCAGTCTGGCTTCCCCTCTTCATGGAATCTGCCTCTATTTTGTGAATATATTTAAGCTATAAGTGGAGTCGATGCTGGCAACTAAAATGAATCTCATTCAACACATATTATGTGTAAATTGACGTTTATCGTGTTGCAACTGAAAAAATATGTTTTTCCATTTCTTTAAAATTGTTAATCTGATTTTGGAATTTTAAAAATAGCTTTAAATAGGCCTATGCCAGTTAAAATCTACTTTTATCTGGCCTTAGAAATATGCATATTTTTTACTGAATATTTATTTTAAAATTGACTTAGATTAATTTACCTTGATAAACATAAATATTTCCAACTGTATCCTTTACACTCAAAATTAAAGTACTTTAAAATTGAAACGAAAATAGACATTACTACCATTTATTAAATTTAGAAGATTTTAAACGTAGTGGAGTTCTTAATTTAGAAGCCAAGAAGGGTAGATGGGATAAGATTCCACTCCAGTGTCGGTTTTGTAAACTTTGTAATTTATGTTCAATCGAAGATGAATTTCATTTTGTAATAATTTTTCATTTCTATTCTCAAATCATTAATAACTTTATTCCCAAATTTTAATATACTCTTCATTGCATTGAACAATTTTATTTTTTTTTTTGTCTAACGTAAAATCAAAACAGAATGTAGCCCAATTTTTATTTATTTATTCATTCATTTCCACCAGGCCATTTTCCTCTCTGGGCCTTTTGCTATGAACATTTTTGTGACTCGGACTTTGGCCAAACTGGCCCTTTGCTACTAGCCACATTGCCACTCGGCACTTTACCCTATGGTTTAGATCCACCTGGTCCTTCACCACCAAGCATTTCGCATTCCATAAGGGCCCACTGCCAGCCGACGTTTTGCGACCCGGCCTTTTAAGTAATGACGTCTACGGCACGTGCTTTAAAAGCTGTGGGCCACATTTCGATATCAGAAAAGATAATTTTAAATAGTGTTGTTGTTTTTGCAGATAAAACGCATCCTAACTGGATCGACTTAACTACACACGTTCGTTCATAATGAAACGAAAACTAACGCGATGTTTTAAATACACTGTTTTCATTGCCACTCTAGGCCTAGTGGCGCTCGTCCCCACATCCATTTTGAGATTACAAGATAAATCGACTACCCAGCGGAGATTGAGTGGCAGAAACAGCAAAATAAATATTGCTAACTTAATGCATAGTTCAGAAATATATACGTCTCTGGATGGCCATAAATTTCAATTGTATCAGAACGATAGTATTGATGGAATGCTGAAACAAGCGCGATCCCGTTTTGATAATAGAGAGAAACTCGAAGAACAAAAATTGGAGTACACAGAGGAAATGAATGGAAAAACTGCAACGACAAGAAGCATCGTACAGAGAGCCTTAGAAATGAAAACGACACTATCGGTTGCTACAATTGAAGATTTGGAATACAAGCACAAGATTACAAATAACAATGTTGAAAATTATTTTAGGCCAACCACTAAAACTCAGAGAATAGGCCTACTTAGAGAATTGGCTGAAAAGCTTACAAAAAACCAAAGTGTCGTTACGATCAAATCACGTGATTTAGAATCGACGTATGTCATACGGCGCACTAATCAATCTATAAAAATTACAAGAACGAAACCACTGTATCCCACTGATCAAGTTAATGATTTTAACATTGCTTATATTATACCAAATGAAAATGCTTGCAAAGGTGATCCTGAAGTATTTGTTGTAGCAATGATGTTAAACCAACATACGGATTACACATATCGGAGATTCGTTCGTGAGTATTCGGGTAAAGCAAGAGTGGTCAATGATAAACGTATTCAACATATATTCTTACTTGGAAAAACAAATAATGAAACACTTCAACAACGAACTGAACAGGAATCGAACACATTTGGAGATATCGTGCAAGGAGACTTTTTAGATACCTATGGAAACTTGACTTTGAAAACTCTAATGGGATTTCAATGGATACGAGATTTCTGCTCAGAAGCAACTTTTGTGTTAAAGGTTGATAGTGATATAATAGTAAACTATAACGCCTTAATTCCTCATCTTGTAACGTCTCCAACTAATGGATTCGTTGAAGGGAGAGTTCAAGCTTCGGCGTATCCATTGAGAAGCAAGTATTCTAAATGGTACATAGCCGAGGAAGACTACCCAGAAACTACGTACCCTCCGTATTGTCTTGGACCGTCATACCTTATGTCTACTGACGTAAGCACACAGGTATTACACACAGCACATTTTGTACGGTTTTTACCATGGGAAGATGTATACGTTGGTTTAGTGCTAAAACGGCTAAATATTACAAATATACATAAAAATAGTAGGTATTTCGTTCTACTAAAAAAGAACAATATTATATGGAATAAGATATGTGTATTTCAACAAATTTTTACACTTTACGTAGGGCGTCGTTTTGACAAAAGTCGACTCAAGATTATCTTTGATAGATGGAGCAATAAAGTTAACTGTCGCAATGTCGTCAGGAAATAAAATGAACTATCATCGGGTTTTCTCCCTACTTTTCAAAGATGCAATTTGTTTTTGAAGGTGCACATAAGCTAGATGTGTACACTAACATAAAAAAAAACTTGCTTCTACGATCCGATTATCACTGGGCGATGAGCGTCTGGAAGCAGCGCCTATGTTATAAATATAGTTAGCGGTGCCCCTGTGTTACCGACTAGCCTTGGCCGAAATTATTAGTAATTAGTAATAATTAATTATTTTATTTATTGATATATTGTCGGCGAATGTTTTTTTATTATTATTATTTATTATACTATTGTTAATTTTTACGTTATATACCATAAGAACCTCTTCTTTGGGAAACCCGTAACGATGACACTTATCTGCTAAACTAGGCGTTTATCATTTACTATTATGGTTAACCCAGCTTAAGAGAACAGGTACTGTAGAACTCACAAATGTAAAAATCCGACAACACTGTAAAATTGTACCCGCACATGTCCAAATAACCACAAATATACCCGTAGGAACATAATTTACAGAATTTATACAGAAACAATTCTATACAATTTTTACAGCATTTTTATAGGCTAATTCTATATGATTTTCTAAACCATGTTTTATAGAATCTTTATAGATTTTCTGCAGGGTCTCTAAGGATCTTCTCATGTAGTTCTGATAGGAATTCTTAAGAAAATTTAACGAGTTCTATAGAGTGTTGATAGAGAAATTGCATAGAAAAACTTCAAGATTTCCTTAAAAAATTTTCTTTAGACCTACAAAATTCCTATTATAAAAGAATTGCCAAAAAAAAAAAGTTTTATCAAATTTATATAGAATTTTCAATAATAATTATCGACTTTTATAGACTTCACATACAATTGCATAGAGAGTTATAGGAATTTTATAGAACATATTACTATTATGAAAGAACTTCATGAAAATTTGAAAAAAAAACTTTTCAAAGAGAAACAAAGAAGTTTCTATAGCATGTTTATAGAATTTCTATTAAAAGTCTATAGAATTATTAGTAATTCCATGGGGATTAGCTATTTTATGGAAAAATATAAACATTCTAAAGAATAGGGCATACTTATATAAATTTATAGAATGTTTATAAAAACATTTTAGAGTACTATATAGTGCCTATAGGTTGATTCTATATAGTTTTTTAAAGGCTGACTTATATAGTGTTTGTAGAAAACCTATAAGAGTTAGATGCCTTGATAGAATTTATATGGTTCCTTTGAAAGGTGATAGAAACCCTAAAGAACTTTTTTAGAACTTGAATCATATACTGTATAGAGTTTCCTTGGAACTTTACTTTGGTTTCTATAGACCTAAAGAATTCCTAGAGTACATTCTGTCAAAATCTATCTTTTATAAAATTTCTTTAGTTAATTATCTAGACTAACTATGCCATTTTTATTTTATTTTCCCCTGTTTATTTAAACTGTACTGCACAGCCAGTTATAAATCATTTACTTAACAATCAGCTAAAACTAACAATGTTCTCGTAATCAGCTGCCATACTTTCAACTTGTTTGACATTGAACTCTTTGCCGTTGCTTCATTTCTAAGGAGATATAATTAGATTAATACATTATGAATTTGAAAACATTTTTTTAAAGTAATATAATAAACATGCAAAACTTAGGCCTAAGGTGAAGTAGTGTACGATAGAGACACCAAAATATATCCCATATTATTACATATAAAAGTTGAGGAGTTGTGCTGAGATTGCCAGTGTGAGAGTTAAAAGAACATCACTGATTAGAACATCACTTACACAGGCCTAGACAGCATTAACTAAGCTCAGACTAACCAGAAGAGGCTAGCACACCTACAATAATATGAATGATAGAGACATAATAGCAGATCTCAGAATATATCTCTTCGTTTTCAATCCATTAATGAGCAAAATATTATATAAAAAACACAACAAACTCAAATTTCTATCAACTTTCTAAATAATCTTATCAGAAAGCTTTCAAAATTACATAGAAAATCAGAATTAAACAAGAATTCTACAAGATTTTCTAAATGAAAAATAAAAATTCTAAAGAAACTATGTTAAAAAAGAGATATATATATTAATATTTTATATCATTTCGTATGATTTCATTTTATACCATTTCATATCATTACAAACCATTACATTATTATTTTATATCATCTCTCATGATATTTCATTTTATTTCAAATCATTTTATTCATTCTTGCTATTTCGTACAATTTAATATCATTTCATACCGATTTAAATACCATTTCATAATATTTCATTTTATATCATTCATATCATATCATTACATTTCATTTCATACCATTTCATATCATTATATATCATTTCATATCGTTTCATAACTTTTCATAAACACTATATAACATTTCAAATCATAATATCGTTTCATATCATTTCGTATATATATATATATTATTTCATATTATTTCACATCATTTTATACCATTTTATATCATTCCATACCATTTTCGATCTTTACATATCATTTCACATCATATAATTTTGTTTCGTTTCATTATATTTCATTCTATTTCACATCATATTTCATATCAATGATTCTTTACATTTTCCGTTGACATGCTATGACATTTGAAGTAAAAATGGATTTCTTTTACATTTGTAGGCAAAATGTTTTTACATTTGAGGTTAAACAAATGTTTACACTTATGGGCAATTTTTTTTTTCTGATTATTTTTACATATTTGTGGTTGACATGTTATGACATTTTTGGTTATTTTTAAATTTGGCACAAATGTTTTTACATTTGTGGTCATTTTTACATTTGTGGTAGATTTTTACATTTGTGGGCTCTAAAAGGGACACATTGAGTGGGCCAAATGGTCAATTCAGCCCATTTGCTATATATTTATCCTGACATATATAATATACTCAAAATAATATTATTTCATCAATTTTTTGGCCATAAACGTAACATTGAACCATAATTTGTTTTTGTCTCTATCCCTAAAATGGATAGGCCTACCTTGTTTCGTACATTCGAGTTTAAGCGTTATGTATGTCTAAAGTAGTATTGATGGAACTTAGCGTTATGTAAACCATGAATCTTCTTAATTTTTGTCATTAGCCATTTATATTTTTCCTCTTTCTGTGTACGTTTTTCCGAAAATCCAACACAATGATTTATAAGTAATTACAATACTATGTTTATGCCACTGTATCATGTATACACATAATAGAAAACTTAATATACAATTTTATCGATTGTATTATGATGGATCCCTCTGGAAATAAATCCCTTATTATAGGGTTATCCAAATAATCTCTATTTTAATGAGAATGATACCTTTCAGAGTCTTCGTTTTTCTGAATCCGAGCTTTCGCTGTTGTCACAACAGCATCATTCAGGGAACTACCGTACTGGTTTTTTGACCGTTCTATGGTTGAACAGTCACGTAACAGCATGTCACTGAAGATGGCTGGTAGGCCATATCCTGTGTCCCTATTAAGGGACACAGGATGAATGATGCTGTTGTGACAACAGCGAAAGCTAGGACTCAGAAAAACGAAGACTCTGAAAGGTAACACTTTCACTATCATGCAAACAACGGAGTCAGATAGTAGTATACATACTGTTATTCTCTATTTTGTTTTCCGACGTGTTTTTTTCTTTCTGTTATATTTCTGTTTGTATGTACAGCTTATAGATATTAAATAAATCAAATCAAAGCAAACATTGGTTTAATTATTGTTGATATATGTTGATATTTGTGAAAGCAGTTGGCACACGGTTGTGGCTTAGACTCTCAACCATGAGACAAGGGGTTCGAAACTCTCGATGTGCACAAGTCGCTCGTGTCTTTGGGCAAGGCACTTAATCTACGCTTGTCTCTCCCTACCCAGGAGTATAAATGTGTACCTGGTAGGATGTTCTGGCATTAGTTATACTGATTGTACGCCCGACTAGTTATACTCCGGGTTTGCCGTACTGGTACTGGTATAGGCATGTATAATGCGCCTCTTTCTTGAGGTTATAAAATTAATAACAGCATACAGTAATATCTATCTACATATCTATGTACTGAAAAATAGATGTGTATAAGAGACAGGTCATTGAGTCCACATGCTTTAAATGTTGCTGCTGCGGTAATCAGCACAGGAGCAGGCAACCACTCCAGCAGGTACCAATTTATACTCGTGGGTGGAGAGAAACAATGCAGATAAAGTGGCTTGCTCAAGGACACAAGCAAAGCACAGCGAGGGATTGAAACTCCAACTTAGAGGTTGGGGAAACCATAACGTTCCCACTGCTCCAAAAACCACCTCCGCCGTTGTATACATCTAGTAACCTGGGGCGGACCATTGCTATAAAACAGTCTTCCCTGAGACCGCTTTGAGTATTGAAATTTAAACAAGCACTCCCTAGTAACGTAAGATTGGGTGGGGGGCTGTTGCACTGTTAAATTAATCAGCAGAACGCCATGTTGAAAATCATTTTAAGACTGTTTTAAGCCTCCTCCGAGTAGGCTTTAAAATTTAAGACGGCTACCTGTTAGACCGCGGTATAGCAATGGTCTATAATTATAGACCAGTAGTTACGTCACGATTATAGCCGGCTAACAGCTTATAGCAATCCGCCCCAGGAGTAATAACGCTCAGAGCTGGAAGCGGTGCAAACTCGACGGCGTAAAAACTCGCCCGATTGATGGGTTTGCCACGCGAGACATGACCATACTTCTCTGTAATATAATAGTAACTATGATCATGTTCATTTTTTACATTGGTCTACCTCCTGAAAATTTACTGTAATTTTAATTTCTAACGACAATAAAACATTCAAACATAATGTATCATATGGATTTGGCAGACCCAACTAAACATTTCCCCTTTAAATAAAGAATACATTACAATATATAGTGACTTTAAAGATGTACTGTCCCTTGTAAAAAACAAAAAACAAAAAAATAAAAATCATTTTTGAAATTTATTTGCCCATTTTGAAGTAACATAAATATTACCAACTTGAACATAGAAATTAGTGTATTTAAAAAATGCTTACCCATAAAAACCATAATTTTACAGCGAAAAATAATAGAAACACTTCCAGTCACTGAAAGTGTTTTATTATCTTTATAATAGTTATCCAGTCAAAAAATCAGGGAACACATTTTTTTAATTTAATAATTTCTATGCTTAAGTTAGTTTAAAAATTATTTTTTTATGATTTTGGCCATTTTCAAGGAACAGTACATCTTAATGCAGTTAGGCCTACTTATAAATAATATTTGATAATGATATGAATATACACATCAAAATAATACAAAACATAAATGTTTTGTGTATAATAGTGGTCTATTGAATAGGCCTATACTGTTAGTTTTAGAAAGACAATGTTTTTAGTAATATTGTAATGGAGATTTATGTAGAACGATCGCATGAATTGATGTGTGACTACCAAGAAATTAAAATTAATAACAGCATACAGTAATATCTATCTACATATCTATGTACTGAAAAATTGTTGGTCCGCGGTTGATCTGCTCGAGCCTCTTGGCCTAACGGACACAAATTTATGACAAAAGTATCATATCGTATCGTCTCGTTGATATTAATATGATTATTAATAGTGATATTAATGATTAAAAAATGTATTTTTTATGTTGTTATTTCATATTATAATTGAAGGAGTTTTTCTTTTCTTGTGTTATACCTGACTGTTGGATTTCAATTGGTGAGAATAATAAAACAAATCAGCAGCCATACGAGTG